AAACTGAAAATGTACTTGTCCTGGAAAACGCATGCGACAATGCCTGGCAGAGGTGCTGGTAGTCGTGTTTGGTTTCCTGGGGGAGGCTCTGGAAGTAGGTGAGAGCGGGTCCATCCAAGAAAGTCGGTAGAGCCCGGGTTCGAACGGTCGCATCATACAGGTGAGCATCGGCATATACCTCGAATTTGGTCAGCCAAACTGGGAAGTCCTCGTCGCCATTGCCAAGGAAGGCGGCTGGGAGGGGCGTTTTGAGGTGTGGTGGAGACGAGGGACTAGGCACAGCAGGTGGTTGGTACCAGGTGACAGGCAAGCCTGCAGCTGGATCGGTAGGTGCATAGTACCGGTAGCTTGGAGGCTGGCCAGGTAGAGTGGGCCGAGTGGTCTGGGGGGCGTGTAGGGTGGCCTGGGTGGGTGGGTGGTAGACCCATACCGGAGATACCGGCCTGGGAGGGTGAGTGTTAGCCCCAGGCTGGAGTGAAGGGTGGGCTGTGGTCTGAGATGTGTATATGGTAGGTGTAACAGACGTACCGGGAGGTGGTGGTTGCGACGGTACAGCTGGAGGGAATGAAGCTGGACTGGGAAACCTCGGTGGGAGACCCGTCTGTGTGGGCGACGCCATTACGTTCGAGGGGGTGCGAGCCACAGGGTTGTAGTTAAATGAAATGTCCTCGTCGATAACGACAACAGAATCACTAGCGGTAGCCATATAGTGAAGGGCAGTTCCAAATTCTCAACAGTTCAGTGCGAGCCTAAAGCCTACCTTGACAGAAAAGATAGCGGAGCGGTCCGGGAAGTTGAAGGTAGACGCACATGGGCCAGAGGGGGAGGGGGGCGAGTACCGTCGAGGCGGCGAACGCAGCGATCCACCGGTTGTTGACGAATAAAGTCCGGTGGTTAGGGACGGCGAAGAGTCCGAACACCGCTGCCACCAGTGTAACGATCCAATCCCAGGGTTTATGGAATGAGCAGAAGAGACGAGTGGAGTACTGTAGATCTGTATGTATTCTTCAGAACATGTGGGTAACTCTAACTCAACTGGATATAACTGGTTCCTAGTGGACTTGCCTACTCGCCACCGGGGGTGGCAGGTTATACCATTCCCATAGGGGGGAACTCTATGGTTCAGCATATTAGATCCTTACAATAGGTTTTGTAAGCCTCAGAAATCTTCTAAAAATGGTGTCTGAAGATGACTACACCACAAGTTATATGAGGAAACCAGGGTGCTAATTGTCTTCAGCTTGCTCTGGCACACATGTGAAAGTTCTAGTCACAACAGTATAGTGAACAGAACGGCAAGCTGTGTGCAGATGTAACTATATCTGAAAACAACTGGTCAGTGGTCACTATGACAAGTTTTATTTGTTTGTCTGTTTGGTACATACATGTCATCTTGGAAACTGGCACCTGTTTGTCAATATAATAAGAGCTGTATACCACATTTATTATTTTTCTTATCATACCTTGATACATATAATTTTGATACGTCGATAATTTTCGTCCTCATAAACATCAAGTTCATTAAACCACAATTATGTGACTAAACACTGACACTCATATCAACAAAAAGGTGATTTTTACAGTTCTTAATTTTAAATTTACAAATAATTTATAGACAAATTCAGTCTGATCTTCAGGTTTACTGTTGGAAACGAGTCACAACGTGTGTGTGTGTGGACTGCCCCCCTCCCCCTTCAACATACCCAATTTCCTCACATGTACCTTAAATTTTCTTCTCATTTTGCACTTATTTGTGATCAAGATCAATATTTTACTTCATCAAACATGTGCTTAGAATCATTGCCACTTATTCCGTGTTAGATTTTGTTGGTATGATGACTGGAAGACGAGACAATTGACCAAAAACTTAAGGTATCTCTCGTTCTTACCCTTCTTCGGCGGCATGATTTTGGAAAGAGACCGTGGACGGGTTTCCCAATCTAAAAGTAAGGGAGGACTTCCAAACGCAATTCTTACTTCTCAGAGGTCTTGACGCAAATATCACAGAAATATCCTATGAAAAGCACAAATATACACTTTTAAATATATAAATATTTTGATTTATTAAATATAGTAACCTTTGCATAGTTGTTTCTTTCATTAAGGTTATACAAAATTGAACAATCGTAGGTGCGTTTGCTGAGATGGCAAGAACTCTCGTCCTTGTTCTCGCGATATCGTACGAGATTTCATCCCAAACCGGAAGTAAACTTTAGGGGACCATAGCAGCATCCAGCTGACAGGTGAGTGAAAAATAGCTGAGAAGTTTCCATAAACTACGACAGTTTTCAAGCTCGTAAGCGTTAAACGACATTGGCAATGGATCTAATATATAGTTCTTTTGGTCATGCACTTGACAGAGCTACTAGAAATTGAATAAAATGTCTGTATAATATTTTTAGGGACAGCTGAAATTTGAAGTTTCCTGGAAGTTGCAACTAGTTGAGGCATACATAATTTGCAATGTCAGGGCGGCAAAACTGGAAATACTCTGAATCGAATAAGGCAATCTGTGTGATATTAACAAATACTGTCCCACGTAAGCACATTTGAATCAGTATTTCATGCTCAAGGCATTCAAGATTAGTCTTTTATTTTCTGGGTGGTACACTTAAATTTAATAAGTTGAAATCAACCCAGGTCCTTCCAGTAATCGTTTTTTTGTTAGAATTTTGGGCATTATTGCTCCATGAATGTCGATGTACATTGGGACTGTGTTGTTTTAACTTAGTATTAGTATGTAGATAAGAGACTAGAATATTGAAAAATCTGTTTTCCAAGTCCTAAAAACTGCACTGGATGTAGCCGTGGCGACTTTTCCTTTTGTATGACATTCTATTATCAAGCTCCTTGGTGTTATTGTACAAAAGGATTACTGAATTGCCACGGCTACACTGGATGCCTTTAAACTAACTATAAACAGCTGACCCGTTGGTCAGTAAACCATCTGAGCAAGGAGGTTTAACCTTCTTGATCTGAGTGACAGCAGTAATAATGTAATAATGACATTTATCAAACCCCTTGACACCTTTGTGGAGGTGTCTCGCTGCTTTTGTTTCGGCCGTTGCCCCCCGATGCACGTGTCACAAGAACGTCACGAGATCTCAGTCACACTCCAGCGAACTACAGACACCCCTTGCCGACACAGTGCCCTGAAGGCAGGAGGGGCGCTGAAGCTATGCCAGGCCCGGTGACGTCCCACTTTGGTCCCCTCAGGGCGCTTTGTTCCCCTTTGTCAGTAGACCACAGCAGCGCCAAGCCCCTGTAGAAGGAATGCAGCACGCAGCTGTCACGCCTGCCATTTGGACGGACGCTTAGCCCCGGATAAGCTGCTCTCTCTACTCTATTACCCCAAAACACCTGGCAGTGCCCTATCTCCATCAGTACTTCAGTAGAGTGGGTGGAACACCTGTTCTGAGTTTGGCTCTTTCTGTGCAAGTGTTGTCGGTAATTATGATCAAGGCCCCGCAGAACTGGACTTTGGTGATCGAGATTTCGCCGGAGTCGAAATCGCACGGCGTTGGCCACCACCATGACTCTATCCAGACGACTCCGACAGAAGTGTCCGAGAGGTTGGTAGACTGTCAGACTGTGCTTCTTGTCTCTTAAGGATGTTGCATATTCCTCGCCCTATCTGTCTTCACGTTCTCAAGGTTTCTGTGCCTCGTTAAATTCTTTCGCGCCATTTGTAGTACAGTGATTGCCATTATGGTAGGCCATTATGGGTCTGGGCCATTATGTTTTAGCCTGCGAGCATTGTTTGTAGTGTCAGCTCTGAGGGTCTTAATACGAGCTTTACAAACTTTATAGTTTATTGGACAATACGTGACTGTGTGTTTGGCACTCTTTGCTGTTGAGTTAGATTTTAAAGTGACTGTGTCTAATATCATGGAGGTAACCTCCAGTTATGGACAACTTTCATCACAATTTCTTTACCAGCTCTAGTAAGTTTACAGAGCTTTGCATTTGATTTTTGTCACGTTCAATTTACAAACTCTGAGGTACTTTGTTTAGTTTCTGGCTTTCATTCTGCTTCATACAGTTGAATGCATTAAAAAAAAACAACCTTTTATTTGTTATGATTTGTGGTTGTATATTAAGAACATTCACAACATATATGCTAATATTGCCATTCCCTGCATCTAGTATTTCCGTAATTTATAGCTTTGTCCATTAAGGTCTTATCTCGCAAGAAATTCTGACTCTTAGCCTTACCTCATAAGGTCCAGACTGTGGGAATAGTTATCTAACTTACAATCATATGGTCCAGTGAAACTGCATGTCCTTGAAGGCTTATCCCATACAAAGAGCTTGTGTATTTGTTGTCTCTTCAGGGTCACCATATTAAATGCTCTTTTGCCACTTTCTATCTAAGCGCTTACTTGTCATAACTCATAAGAGATACTTAATAGCCAATGATCTTACTATTCTTAGCATGGCAGGCAGATCAGAGATATAATAAAGAGGCCATCATGTTAGGAATTGAGTTTAGAGTTAGACTTTTCACAGATTGCAGCAACAGAAAATCACCAGTAGAGCAGGCCCCAAGGCTATGTTTTTCTCCAATGCTAGTAAATTACATTTACTGGTATTGTAAGTAGTATTTTGAGAATGATATCTTAGATTTGAATCTTGGCACTAATAAATCTGTTAAGTAGAACTGTTCAAGTACTGTTCGTTTACTCTGGATCTACTTGTCAGCCCTTAATCAGATTGATATCAATTTCACATGAATTTAGCAATGGCTGGTAAATGTTACGCCAAACCACAGCACTGTAGCCACCTGTTTCTATGACATTGTATATACATGTAATATGTATGTTATTCACCAGTACCCTATTTGGCCATGGGGCGAAAATGCAACAACACCAATTCCTAATCCGGTATTTGGATTTTTGAAAGCGGCACACGCAGCTCAGGTTAATGTGTTCGAATTATTCTATGGAAGCCTGTGCCGTCCGGAACACTGTTTATCGAAGGTTATCACAGCCTGGGTATAATATTCAATATAAATATGTTCAATCAATTCACCATGTGTTTGACACCAGGCCTAATACCACCATGGGAGAAGTTTGCTGTCAACTGTACTGGGAATTGTAACAAAGAATGTTATGAATTTTTTATCATAACCTCAGGAACCCGTGTTGTTCTCTTGCAGGTACAGGAAGATTCAGTCCCAGACAAACGGACACTTCGAGACGCCCCCCACGGAAGGGAAGATGGTTCCAGCCTTCTCCAAGAAGAAGCTGTCATTCTAATTATAAGGAAGGAGTGTGGTGTTTGGTGGAGTCTTCTCATTCTTCTACTAACTTGTATGCCAGTCACATCTTTGTGTATGTACAGTTTTCTGAATGTGACATATTTTACTTTAAGCGCTGCAAGCAATCCGTCACACATACATGTGTGCATACGTACATGCATGTGTTTTATCTAGGCTCTAGCCAGCTTGGAATTTTTTTTCATCAGCGGATGATCAGCCTATGTTCATGTTTGGATCTGGGTGGGGAAATTTTGGATTTTCAAGCCTTTAAAGATGCAATTTCCAGCATTTTGAAAGGAATTGGGTTGAGATTCAGTGTTGGTGGTGCTTCGGACATTTTTATGTTTTTACCCAAGATTTTTGTTGATTTTGCCTGTCAAGGTTGACAGATTGGTTTAAAAAATTGTCCGTCTCACGCCTCAAATTTCCAATAATTGACGGAAAAATGGGTGCTGGCTAGAGCCCTGTATTGTATGCACTTATATTGCATTGAATACTATGATTATAACTTTTACCCATGTTTGTTCTATCAAATTCGTTAGTTATTTTCCCCGCCAAATTGACACAATGACATTTCACCCAAGCAGTGTGCCGCCTTGCTTAGGTCAATTTTACACATGAATATGCATGAAAACAGCTGCCAGCATGCCCAACCTTTTGAAGTGGCAAAACAATTACGGATGAATTCATTCTGGATTAAACTAGTTTAAGCTAGATTAGTTGCTTGACTGGAACACTGGAAAGCTTTGTAAAATAAGCAGAACATGGCATATAGATAATGCTTTAATTATGATGTAATATATATGTAGATAGAAATATTTACATGTGTTTATGTAGGTATGGAATGCCGTATGTCTTAGATAAGAGATCACAAAGATATCTGTCAGCTCTGTCAGACAAATTATGTCAAGTCAATTTAATTGTCACAAGTGCAGGTCTTTATAAGGATTTTCAGACTCAGAAGTCAGATGGATAGAGACTAGCTAAAATGTAAACTTAAGACATAACATACACACAAAGTGTAGCCGTGTCATAATTTGTTGAGGCTATCTTATGACAAACATGAATAACACGTTCAATCGAGCAATAAATAGAGCATCACACACCTAATGTAGGTAACTTCCTGGGTTGGGACATGGTTGTCATTCCAGTGGTTACACAGAAAAGAAATTACCATACCCAAAAATTCCCTAGTAGGAACTACGTACATGTTAAATACATCGATGAAAGTTAGACATCCAGAACATACAAGCAACTGGATAGATTTTCAAGAGTAACTGGATAGATTTTGAAAATCTATCCAGTTGCTTGAGTAACAATGTCTTTGTGCACACCTTCTTGCACACCTGTCTTGTCCCTTTGGGACATCCAAACTCTGATGAGTCAATTAGGAACACCCTGATTAATTGGATTGTCTGCTCTTCCTCCGGATCTGATAAGGTCCTTTGTGGTCTCGATCACAGGAAAATCCTTTTTGGTAGATGACTGTTCCTGAAAAAATTGTCCATAGCATTTTTTAACCATTCTACCCAAAAATCAACTTTTAAGAAGCTTTTCAACCATACCAGAACAAGTTTTTGGTATTTTACAATGTACATATGTAGGTTGTTTTTCAGAAGACAGGAGATTTGAGTAAAAAAAATCATTTAACATGTGCGAAGATACATTGTACTGTCTTAAACTTGATTTGTTATGATAGCACATTAACTTTTTTAATCTTTTGTTTTTCTTGTGTTACAGATTTATTAACACTCAGGGACACCCTACACAACTTGTCACTAAACCAGACCCAAACACTAAGAAGTATCCCACCCCTACCCTACCTGTACCTGATAGCTTCCTGTTGTACCAACGACTTGTTCCCTCAAAGTCTAACCACCATTCCAAGCCTTGCACCACATCCCCGTTCCCTCTGCACAACAGCTGGCTTCTTCTGAGGACAGGTGTGAGGTATTGTGGTCATGAGATGTCTTCATCACGATCTGCTAGGACGGCAGGGGCCAAGGTGATAGCCAGACATGCCAGCAAGGACAGAGTCATCAACTCTTATCCACTGGTAAGTATGCTATGAGCAAGGAGGTTATATACCTGTAGGTTCTATTTAAAGCTCCTTGGTATAAGTTTTAAGTCTGTCTTTGTCCATGGTTTGAAAAAAAATGAATGCTTTATAACCTTGGCTTAAGGTTGTTAATTCATCTAGTACATGTAATTAAGTCACAGCAGTACAGCATATACTGATCATAGGTGCTAACAGTTTTGGTTAATTTTTAGCACCATATGGGTGTGTAAGCTGGCAAAAGTGTCTCCTTGCCTGTAGAATTGTAAGTTATAACAACAATGCATTTTCCTTTGCTGTGTAGTGTGAGAGAGATGCGACTGTCTTTTGACATGAAGCCAAATTATCTTTGACAAAAGAATGTCCATAGCATGTTGTCTGCCCTTTTCTCTGAAGTTCAACTAGGACAGTATAAACAGACTCAAGAGAGAAGTTTATATGCTTGCTGTCCCTAAAATGGCCAAGAGGCAAATTCGCCACATAGTTGGAATTGTTAGGAATCTTGTGGTGAAACAACCTTCCGTTATATCATAGGAACATCGCTGAATAGTTATGTCACCATCTAAGGTATATTTTGTGGTTAAACCACTTCCTTCCAATTTAGTGAATTAGATCTTACCAAGTATTAAAGGCTTACATGTTTCTGAAGATGGTGGTTTATTATAGAGGGTGAATTATTGCCAGGTGTCCTTGTCACAGAGGGCTACTCTCTGAAATACCACGTTAGATACAGCGACTAGATACCAGGCTTCCTGTCACGAAAATGCGGCAAATATGTATTTGTTTTCCCAACAAGAGCCCGGTAAGATCTGATATGGGCACGAGAGCCACGACACAATAAGGAAACGGACCGCGAGGAATGTTGCGTTATGGGGTTCGAAGCCCGAGGATTGTCGAGCTTTGAAGACTTTGTTTGTGTCAGTAAATCCTTTAGGAAGTAAAAATTGGCCGCTGACGTATTCTCTGTTATTGTGTGCATTGTGGTTTTACCCCTAAACAGTTAGATAGGCCAAATGATTGCAATGTTATGAATATGAAACGTTGGGGAATAGGCCTTTTTCTGTGTATCTGTGCTCAAAATGCCACTAGCATGAGGGCACAAATCAATTATGGAATTAATGTCTTTTTTTGATCCGACTGAATGAAAAATTGTGTTCTTTGATACGAACTCGTAACATTGAAAAAGGATCTGGACGTCCACAATCCGTGCTCAAAATGCCTCTTGCATGAGGACACCACTCAATTACAGTATTTGTATCTAATGCTTTCTTCAACTCAAGGAAAGTCTTGGCGGTCACATTAAGTTAATGGTGCATGGATAGCACACCTTACTTACTTCATACAAAATACGCCCTGTTGTGAGCTACTCGCAGTATGTCAACAGCTCTCAGTAACGTTCTTTCGAGTGGAAAATGTGGATTTCTTCCACCATTTGATTTCTAATTCATTTTGCTGTGGAACTAACAATTAATTTAACAAAGGTTGTCAATTATAGTTTCCACGAAGGAAGTAGACTTCTTGAAAACTTCATAATCATTTTGAGAAACTTTGAAAAATAGATCATTTCCTAAAAATGTTGATGTTTTGACTGTTGTTCATTTCAGAACAAAGGAGTTGAACTGGGCAATCATGTAGAAGTAAGAAGTAATTGGGCTTAGTGAGTGGGTTCTAATGTGTTTGCAAGTGGTGTCGCCATTGCTGACCCCCAGGTCACCCCTGTAAACAAGTTTTGCACGATACTGGTTTAGAGGACCATTTACCAGTTTGATAGAAGTAATGAACCCCATTCAGACTAAAAAAAAAAGAGATGTAGGTTGAGGGGTACAAAAATGTAGATTCGGATCAGAATTTGTCAATCTGAATCATTTTTTGGAGTGTGAACACTCCAAATTGGTTCAATTTTTGAGTGTAAATGGGGTCTAAGTAACTCAGTTTTCCCTGAATGAAACATTTGTCTCTGACCAGGCATTGTTCAGAGTTGTTCAATGTGTTTTTAATGATATGGACAACCTGTTAGCTTACCAAGTGATGTAGACGCTTCAACTGGGTACTAGGAATTATAGAGTTCCTAGTTGAGGCCGCTTATCACTTAACTGTCATTTACAGGGTACATGTACGTAATAATAGCTCCTTTGAAAAGGAGGGCAATCAACACACTGTACTCTTCCAGCACCCATAGTATTGTTACTCTTTGATTTAAATGTTTTCTTTCCATTTGCACAATCACGCATCATTCATTTTTGTTTTCACCTGTTTTGTGCACAACCCCTAAGATTATCTAACTCTCCTTCCCCCATATGCATCCAGGTTCTGGGAAACATGAGATGTGTGGTACGTTGACTTACGCTGACTTTATCCCTTTTTACAGAAGGTGGTGGCAGTAATTATCCTAATTATCCATCCACACTAATTAACTCATTTTGAAAGGGCAGACTGACAAAAACCATCCCAGAGGAATTGTTTGAAATCTTCAAGCAGATTTGGATGAGGCTAAATTGTTACATATTTCCTGGCTTTTCTTTTCTATGAGTCAAACCACCTCCCCCAATATCTGCTTGGAGATTAACTTATTTGTACTAAGGTTGTTTAAAAGTCATAACAGAATGCTAGTCGTATTGGACCTCACAGTGATAGACAAACATCACTGTTTTCCATAACAAAAGGAACACAATTTGAGAATTTTTGGAGAATGCTTTAGACATGTTTAGATGCACAAACATGTTTACTGTCTCAAAAATCTTGTTGTTGATTCTGCATTCTCTGTGTTCATCATGGTATAAGAACAAAAGAATGATATTGCAAATCTCCAAATCTTCCGAAGAATCTAGGTCACTGACCTGGTCACACACACCTCCCCCTCTTCTCTTAATTTCTGTCCCTGCCCCAAAATGCCGACCGACCGCCACCTCAGAACACTTTCCAGCCTGTTGGTTCCAATTGTTGCAACAATTAGCGAGGTCAATCTTCAATAAGAACCAACTCATAAAATCCACTGTCATAAATGTCTACATTTTCAGGACTCCGTGAACTGTGAAGACAGAATGCAACACTCTAAAGTGGACTTTTTTTGGTAATGGATGGTGTTTGAGAAAGAATAAAAAGGAAAAAAGGTCAAACATACCTTCAGGATATAATTATCCAAAAATTGGGAGGAAAGCGTCAGTGCCTTTTAGCAAACACCTGCCTCTATCATTGTGTAGTCACACCAAGTGTGTCATAGAAACTAAGAAACTCTTTCATGTTACTGTAGCAGTGTTCTAGATGTAATATGCAGGACAATTCAAACAGTAAAATAATTGTCATCATACATGAACAATGTAACCAAACATCACTTTCCATAACCCCACCAAAGTTGGTCCTCGGTGCTGGTGGAACTAACTCTTTAACTAATCACTGGTTAATTAGGGTTATTACAACTTACAACTAATTGGCAAATATTTCTCAACGTGTAAAGGTCTGAGGAATCTAGTTGCTGAATGTCTTAAGTAAATACTAGTCATTTAAGTCCATTTTGTCATGTTAGAAAGAATATTATTGTGGAGCAACGTGAAAAATGATGTAAGATGTGATTTTGCTTCTCCTGTTACCCCAACAATTGTGAATTACAATTCAAATCAAAAGAAGCTGTTATATAGCATTATAGATAACCTACAGTACATCAGGCATTCCAGCAAGTTTTATCTCCCATATTGCAGATAATCCTTATTGAACTGTGGTAAAACTTCATAGGTACAAAATTTGGTGATGATCACCCAATTTTAGCATTATTATCATGGATCAGAGCCGTGCCTTCTGTCCTGTTGACCTTTACTCCACTTCCTGAAGCTCCTTTGATCTGCATCCACAAATTGCAGTTTTTAGACACAGCCTTGAGAAATAATTATCCAAAAATGGGAACTTTCAAGATTGACAAGTATTGTTCTTCTTATAATTCTATTGAATGTACTTCTCCAGCCCTACAGACAAGAGGCTACCCCGTACCTGTCCTTCAATTTTAACCCCAAGGTCAAGGCTGCCTGTTCTGCGCAGAAGGCCGTCACCTCCTCGTAAGTTCATCGCAGTTACACAAGAAATCATTACTCGAGCAACTAAATAGATTTTGAAAACTGTCAGACATTCCAAGTAGTAGCATCCACTACTTTTTGTCCGTAACAAACGAAATCTGTAGTTGAACAGAAGAAATTGTGTACTATAATTCATGATATTTTCGCATGCGGTGCTTTTATGTTTGCGATTTTGCAGTCACTTCTGTACCACATACCACAAACTTATCATTACCTTGAACAAGTAATTTGCCAACTTTCTTCTTTCTGTCCTGCCGCCACTGCAAACATATAGTTCCGCAAACATGTGCTTTTTTTTCTCAGATCACAAACTTTTGCTACCGCAAACAGAAAGTGAATTACAGTATCTCATTACCTGGATGTTTTTTAAAACTTCTATCATGGACAGTTACCTGATTTTCAGTAATAAATCAAATCCTACTACATTGACTGTGTATGCAAGGATGTTTTACAACGTCCTTGGTGTATGTTATAGCAATGTTTTATTTTGTCCACCGTTATGTTTCTAAGTGACCTTTCTCTTCACGTCTAGGTTGAGGATCTGTAAAGCTATCGTGATCGGTGATGTGGCTGTGGGGAAAACCTGCCTCGTTAACAGGTGGGCGTCGTTACGTGCTCCACAACACGCTCGTCAACATGTTTACTAAACAATAAGGAAATGACAGCCAGTATCATTGGGGTGTAGATACCATCAACCCCAGGCACAGTTCTAACATTCCTGTGCATGCTTGGGTTCTTGTTTGTGTAATCAGATCATGAGGCCAATAATGGCACGTGAACCCTGAAGGATCCCCATCATTTATCTGCTTGGAGGTAAATGTCAAATGTAAAGGGGGATGTTTGTTGTCATATTTCACTGTAAATGTGCACCATTTTGTAGCTGTCTTAATCCAAAAACATTATCCAAAGACAAAGCAGTTTTATAGAAATATAAAGCTTTTTTTTAGTTTATATGTTACGTGTAAAACTCATGAAACTGTGGTATAGAAAAACACAAATTTAACACAAAGTACTTGTAATTAGCTTGCTGTGTGTTCTAAGCAAGTTAGCTCATGATCAAGAAATATTAGTGAATCCTCAGAAACAAAAAGTCTTTCATGTACTGCACTTACTTGTATTACATTCAATAGGTCCAAAATTGAAAGAAGCATGTGAAAAGACTTCCAGTGAAAAGTATTGTACAAAATGTTGAACCTGTTTGACCCTGACAGATTCTGTAAGGACACCTTTGATCGTGACTACAAGGCCACCATTGGGGTGGATTTTGAAGTGGAGAGGTTTGACATCCTCAATACACCTTTCAACCTGCAAATGTGAGTCAAACAACTTTACAGTATATTAATCTGATCATTAGCTTCATGTAATACCAGTAGTACCTTTTAAAATTTAGGTGTGAACATGGATTAGCAGAACATTTTAACAATAAAGAATACTACAAAAGGCTCAAAGGGGTAAGTTTTTTTTCAGATGCACCATTTTCAATCCTAAAATTAAAGAATGTTTGCTTTCATATACTTTGCTGAGGTTACAAATAAGGATGTGCTTACTGTTATGTAGAACTGTTTGTTTAATTGAAAATGACAATAAAATCATGATGTTGCGTTTCCACAGATGGGACACTGCAGGCCAGGAGAGGTTCCAGTGTATAGCTGCAGCCTACTACAGAGGGGCACATGGTAAGTACATGACACAAAATGTAGATTTCATGTCAAAAATGACAGTTTTGTGTGTTCTAGCCAGCCTGAAATGAAACTTTTTTCATCATCTCAATTTTGTTTGACGTAACATTATTTCAAGCTTGACCCTCTGAAATGCTAATTTCTGCAATAATTTGATGGGCAAATTTTGCTGGGAGAATAAGCTTAGTTTAATGACACCTCTTTCCATATCAAATTCTTTACTTTATTTTTTTATTTATGTAGCAGTCGTATCTACAAATGTGCACTTTGTGATAAATTCAATGGTAGCATATCAATTGTTCGAAATGTACGAAACGGTATAGCATTCATTCAAGTTACTTTAGTCATTGTTTAATATATTCTGTTAAGGTGATATATCATACACACTAATTTTGTTTAGTCTGTCTTTTGTTAAATCATCCACTATCCTTGACAGTTCTGTGCCTTAAGCACATAAAAGAGTAATTACTTGCACTATTTAGCAGAGTTGTCTGTGGTTCAGGGGTCACAAAGTATGTTTGTCTCTTTTATACAGTCATAATTGTCGCCTTTGACCTGTTGGACATCAAGACACTAGAAAACACAAAGTAAGTGGTTTAATGATATAATTTATATAACTAACGAGTGTAAAACGAAAACGATCTTGCTTTGAGTTTGTAACCTTGCTACATGTACATGTATATTCAGTATTTGATGCCATGTAGATAAAAATTTATCTGTTTTTTTCCTTCAGGCAAAAATATCTTTGATCTCACATATTGCACAGAGGTCAATTTTATGCTCAATAAGCTGGAAAATGAATGGACGAGTAGGAAAACTGTAAAAAAAACAACATTGTGTCTAAGATTGGTTTGATGTTTGTTCATAAGTACGTACTGCAAAATCATGCCGTGAAAAGATTCTATTGAATGTTGAAAGATTTGGAATTACATTTGTAGGCAATAGTTTTTATTTCAGCTCATATATAAAATGTAATATTGCGATATATATATTTTTCCAGATTTGATGCTACAATAAATGTTGTACAATGCAGAAATATTTTATGTAATCCCCCATAGGAATTGGTTGGAGGCAGCCATGCTGGAAAATTCACAGAATGAACCTCTCATCTTCTTGGTTGGAACAAAGAAGGACCTCTGTGTAAGATTATTGTTTTCCCTTAATCTCCAGTAATTTTCAACTGTTTTCAGTTAATTGTTTGCAGTTGTAGTACATGTGTTGGTAAAGGATAATAAGGTGGAAGCAAGTGTAAAATAAATGAAAAACATAAGCAAACGATTTTGTGCATAAAAGTCTTGCCCACAAATGTTCCAGACAAATTTGGTGTTCAGAACTTGTTTGGAGAAACTAACCGTGTTGCTTGGTGATACAATGTGTGAAATCAATGTTCTTTTTCTTCCCAGAGCAAAGCCGCCTATGAGAAAGTAGAGGAAGATGCAGTGAGAAGAGCCAAGGAGCTGGGAGCTGAGTACTGGGGTGTCTCCTCTAAAACAGGTGGGCAGCAAACCACTATCCTATCATGGGGACTGAATTATAAAACTATCACAAGGATAAAGAGAACTGTAATGAAGATTGTAGCACTCATAGCCCTTGAATCTGGCTCCACAGAGTCCAGAGTGTGTAGCCTGGGTAGCCAGTGACATTAGGGAGCGAGCAGAAACTACAGAGGATAGCACCCAGGTTACAGAGTTTGAATCCGAGCTGTTGTTGCTCAACCAACTTGCATGCTACTAGACATTGTAGTCCCCAGAATAGTTTTGGGCATTGATATTGTTGATTCTCCTCAAAAAGAGCTATGAAATTTTTCTCGTAGATTTTACCTGACAGTGCATGTACATGTATGTTAAACCTATCTGTTTCAGGTGAAGGTGTAAAAGACTTCTTCTTCCGTGTGGCCGGCCTTGCCTTCAATGAAGCTGTCTTGAAGGAAGTAGACGTGTCCAGCCCCTCCAAACAGATAGCCACCAGCGATCTCATCAGTGAGTATTTGGGAAATATCAACCCTTACTAAGATCTGTATGAAATGTAGGATATTTGAATTTTCGTATACACAACAAGGGATTCTTCCTACCTTGCTTACATCTTGATGTCTATCAGACACCTTCTTCAGACCTTCAACTGCTTCTCCATGCTATATGGTTGTGCAGAGGAAAATCCCAATATTGTCAATATTCTATGTATGACATTTTCTTGCTACAATGTCATGATGTAGTTCCCAGGAACTATTTCATCCCAGTGTTGAAGAGAACAGGTCAATTTAGATTTAGGATGGGTCTTGGAGCCTTGCAAATCTGATTAAAGTATGCCAGAACTAGTGACCAGAAAGGAAGGAAAACATGTAAGAAGTACTGTTCTAACATTGTATGAGGATCTCTGTGAATGTACAGTTTCTTTACAATAAGATTTTGTAGTTGTAACAATTTATTGTTTATGTTACTCTGTTTATGTTATCCTGTATAGGGTAGGACATCAGTAAGTGTTCCTACCCTTTGTAAAAAATCGAGAAATAAATACTATTAGATAAATAAATAGATAGCAATGTCTGATTGCTGATTCTTTCTAACCAGAGTTCTCTCTACTTGCAGAGGTGGAGAGGAATACAGAAGTAACAGAGCACAAGAAGTCCAGATGTGCCGGGAAATGTTCCACCTGACACAGAGCAGCACAAACTTGTACAGATTTAGTCTTATTTTACAAGGAAAAAAGAAGATACATTCCCTGACTTCATAATTGTGTCCCCTTACCTTGCCACACTGTCCAACCTGTACATACAAGTACGATCATATTGTCATTCCTCCCTTAACGTAGAAGTTAACATTCACAAATGTCTCGAATACAGTTTTTGTCATTCATTAGGTTAATTCTCTCCAGTTTGTTCCAGCTTGAAAAAGTACATTGTATAGGCAATACAAACATTCCTTGTATCTCTCTATAATTATCTATTCTAGTCTCTCCTATGCCTATACTTGTATGTTACACTACTTTGTAGTAGATGATGATACTACTGTAAAAGCAAATCTTTCATAGTATAGTAGCCATAATCTGTAATCTTGTTGTATGCAGTGCTTTATGTATTTATAGATTTTTGTTTGTTTGTTTTCTTCATTTATCGACTTTTCCAAAAAAAGGTTCTTTTTTTTTAACCTCCTAGCTTTTTCTGCTAATATCTTCATGTTACTGTCCTTAATTTGTTTAGTATGCTGTGGAGATGAACTGATATTCAAGTGTCATTTGTGGGTAAATTCCATAGTTAGTTATTTGTGTAATTGGATATGGTCTCTTCAACAGTGTCTGAATCAGTTTTGCTAAATGCGGCGTTGTACTTATGAAATACGTACAGGCAAGATAGAGTACTACTATACTATCCTACTCAGTGGGTCAAAACCATAAGCCGAGGCTGCTTAGGTTACAACTTATCCAGAACTGTCAAACTGACTTGTTGTGTCCTATAATTTCAACTATACAACAATGCGTTGAGAGATATACTAAGTATAACCATGCACAAAGTGCTTAGAAAATCATTAGCATCATTGTGTTATTGGACCATTAAATAGATCCCCTAACATCTTATTTCTAAGGTATCAAAGACTTTGTAATGACTTCCATGGAAATCATGTATTTTTATAGGTATCATAGTTATTATGACTGTGTGTTGTGGTGTGGTGTTTTTGAATGTCAGGTTATGTTGCATCGTTGTGTAAAAATGCTCAAAAATATTATTGTATACAGTTATTACAGTTTAAACCAAATATATTATTGTACTTGCATATCCAGACACAAATAGCAATATGGAAAATGCATATCAGAAACTAAACATTGTCCAAAATCGGCATCATTTTCATCTCAAAAATCCTTTTGCTGACATCTAATCATCAGGCTAATATCTTGTTCAAACCTGGATGTTTGGTTGCAAATTCTATATTTTGACAATGGCTCATTGGCAAAGGAAAAGAATGAAGACAAATTCCAGCCAGTCACCACTATGGAATCATAGAGGAAATTCATAACTGATGAGACAAATATTTTAAGGTAATATTTCAGGCATTCCAGCATATAATTTGAAAAATCAAAAGATTAACATGTTTGTGATTTAATGTTTGACAAGATATAAAACCTTCAATCAGACAGCAATTGGGCGACACAAACAAACTTTGCAAAATTTCTTTAGTCTGATTATGAATCAATGCAATAATTAGACCGAATATATGGGAACCAGGCAATCATTTGAGTACAAGTTGTATGATGAGACTTCTCAGTGGTGAAAAGACTCCTCCTAAGTTATTTATTATTCAGGAGTATTAATTTAGGGTTTTAGAATTGTTTTTCATCAACTACGTTACTTAATTTCTTCTTCATATACAGAGATGATAAGGAAACTGTTACTGAAACAGAAATGTAACAACAACTACATGTATCAGTAACAAGAAGCAAAGATATTTGAACTGGAGTATGGTGATTGTATTATGTTAATCTGGCATTTTTCCTGGCTGGTACACTAGTGGTCAATTATGGTATGATGTATGATGACTGGAAGAGAAAAGGTATTTATTTGGTTGGCTGAGGGACCAGGATACATCTGCTGAAATTTATTTAGTAGTGGTTCTTGAATCTTTGTTAAAGACATAATTTGAATAACTTGAATAAAGTTTTCTTTTTCTTCTTTCTTGGTTCTTCTTCTTTCTTGGTTGTCATTGATTTTATTTATGAACACCTAGCTAGCCTGGTATCCATCCAATTCTAGCTCTGGTTTGTTTCTCTGATTGCTTCCCTTGCCAAATATTCAACAGGGAAGCGATTAAAATAGTGAACCGAAGCTAAAATTTGATGGATACCAGGCTATAATGGTCTAACACACGGTAGATTGAAAGCGCCGACTAACGTTTTATTGCAGCAATAGCGGTTAGGAACACTGCAATTATTACAATGACCACTAGTCGTCCCCACTGACACGTGGTAACGGTAACCGTAACGTTACATATACCGTACTTGAAAACATCCCTGGAAAAAGGATAATTGTTCAAAATTGTGGACACGCTCTTTAGGTTTGCTGGTCTCTGCTATGTTTTGTTTTGCGTTCCTCTGTTTTGTTTTTCTTTTTTCGTAATTTTCATAGGGTTCTTTTAATCATGGCCACCATTCATTGCAGTGATGTTCTTCGATAAAAGGTGGCGCTGTTGACCCGGAAGTGTGAGTGTGTGCCAAAGAGGACGAGATGGAAGTGTGAGTGCAGAAATTCGGCATGAATTGATGGCTTTATAGCTAACGCACCATGGCCGTTGTTATATGAACAATTTTATGAATGAATTCCTTTCCTTTCAGAGTGAATGACCAGGCTGCAATGCTCAGTAATTATGAGGTAAGCCACGTTTTCCTCAGCGGCTCAGCCATGGTGTGCCCCCCTCCCCCTTCTTGCAAACTGTTTTAATGAATTTTCATCATTAACGTGTTTCTACGCTTGTAAAATGGACAAAACTCAATTTACCAGGGCTAACGTTATCTTTCTCAAGGTTTGCATTGATATCATTCAAAAGATAGATTGTGTTCTAAAACTACGGTAACGTTACATCATTCAGCAAAGGACAAAACAAGTTAAAAGTTATAAAAGTTTATTGTGGTCACATTAGTTGAGTTGATATTATGTTTTGCAGGTTTATTCTCTACTTAAAGAGATTGAGTCCAAAGGGAAGAAGAAGAAATCTCGGGCCCAGCAGAACCTTGCAACCATAACGTATGAGGTCAGAAAACCAAAAACATTTTAAAGCTATTAAGGTCATTTTTAAGTAATCTTTATCATGTTTGTTTCCCTTGACCTGTAACAGTTAAATTGTCTAAGGAAATAACACAACGGTTTTGTACAGTTGTAATTTTATATTTCTTCCCTCTTGTTCCAGACCCTGAACTACTTGAAGAACACTCCCTGCACACTACAGAACCCAGAGATGGTGTCTGAGTTTATGGAGGCTCTGGGTCCATACAATCTCACAAAGTAAGTTTGAACTGTACCGCTTTCTTCAGATGCTTAAACTGTTAAAAACTCCAGACTATAACGTTACAGTCATATGAAATTGTAGCACAACAGATACTTTGCAAGAATGTTTGTTCATTGTTTACCAGATTGTTAAGTAGACCAGGCAAGGACTATTTTCTTTCCATCTATTTGTGTAGAGCAGAAAAATTGCAACTGCTGAATCACAGACCATCCAGTGCAGTGGAAATACAGTTGGTAAGTTTTCAAAAGTCTTAGATTTTGGTCTTATATGCATGTTTCACATTGACGACACATGGTATCATCGGCAGTTCAATTTTGGGCTATTCCATTGAAATGTTGAAGAGGGGGCAAACTGTACAAAAATTCCCCTTTGAGTGAAGTGGGACTTTCAACTGAAAGTCTTGAAATATTTAAATAGGAGCAAAAGCAAAAGACTTATGTCATGTTTTTGTTGTCTTTCCTCAGATAATAGAAGAGAGTGAAGAGCGGCTGACAGAAGAACAGATAGATGAACTGTTGCAATTGGTTGCTGACAAACTGCCTGATCCAAATGCACCAGAGGGGGGAGGGGAGGGGGAGGAAGGTGGGGAGGGGGGCACAGAACGTATGGAGGAAGAGGAGGAATAGATAAATATTTTATTTTATTGTTAGGACCATTCCATCTTGAAAAGTTGGCAAGGGTGGAGCCACATCATGTAAATATTTTCTACCTTGGATCCCTCCTTGCTGTCAAAGTTTTTTTAATGGAATAGTCCATTCTACCTGTAATTTTTGTCACAAGTATTTGGAAAGTCAATGAGAAGTTGGATGGAATCAACTGACATGCCTGGAACTGTACAGTTCCCATATTTCAACTGAAAGAGCATGTTTCATTTCATATCCACATACTCACAAAGATATGTAACTATAACATTGACTCAAGTTCATAAGTTCCCAGTGTCTTCTCGACAGTATTAAACAATAAAAGTGATTTCTTCTACAATATCTACAAGTGACTGTCATCTATATGTATAACACTCCCATCATTTTTTACTTCCCCGGCCCCAAAGTATTGTTTTCAGCTGGAATTTGGCATGTTCTAGGATAAGTCCTGTACAATGCAACTTGTATGGAATCAGGACACATGTTTTCCCTATATAAATGTAATTCACTATTGCCCAGAGCAATTGAAAACATGCAGTATCCATGTGTGATATCGATGTAGGCCCAAGGCAGGAACTGGAAGTGTGTTGGTATGAGGAACATCTGAGGATTAAAGCCTGAGGGGAGGTTGAACTATTTTATTACTTTAGACACGTTTGTAACCTGGTATGAACGGACTGTCTCTTGCAGTTTCGTTACCCCCTTGTGAAAACTGCAGAGGCTGAACCCCCCCCCCC